TAGACAGATAGATACATAGATAGATGGATAAATGGATAGATAGACAGATAGGTAGATAGACAGACAGACAGACAGACAGACAGACAGACAGACAGATGGAAACATGGATAGATGGATAGATGGAAAGATGGATAGATGGATAGATGGATAGATGGATAGATGGATAGATGGATAGATGGATGGATAGATAGATAGATAGGTAGATAGACAGGTAGATAGGTAGATACCTAGATAAGTACATACGTAGATGGGTAGATAGATTGAGTGATTGATTGATCGATGGATAGACAGATAGATAGAGAGATAGAGAGATAGAGATATAGAGAGTCAGAGAGATAGAGAGTCAGAGAGATAGAGAGTCAGAGAGATAGACAGATAGACAGGTAGATGGATAGATGGATAGATGGATAGATGAATAGATAGATAGATGGATAGATGGATAGATGGACAGATGGACAGATGGGCAGATGGGCAGATGGACAGATAAATAGATGGATAGATAGGTAGATAGGTAGATAGGTAGATAGAGAGATTAGTTAGACAGATAGATAGATTGATCGATCGATAGATACATCGCTCGACAGATAGATAGATCGATCGATACATCGATCGATCGATCGGTAGGTGGGTAGGTAGGTCGGTAGGTAGGTAGGTAGGTAGGTAGGTAGGTAGGTAGGTAGGTAGGTAGGTAGGTAGGTAGGTAGGCAGGAAGGCAAGTAGGTCGGCAGATAGGTAGGTAGGTACGTGAATAAATGGAAAGACACAGAGACCCTCTGACAGGGAACTTCATGGGCAAGTCCTTCAATGATTCTTGCCTTGGCAGCGCTCCATAGCGTGTCCTCATTTACCACCTCTATAGCCAAAGAAGTCCTCAGCCACTCTGCAAGGCAGCAGGCGCTTGTCCTCTCCCTCACTTGTCTCTTGGCGGGCCCAAACACAGAATCGCACTAAATTCCAATGCCTTCTGCACCCACATTGGTGCCTTTCGGAAGGGAATAAACGGGAGTATCTAAGAGTTTCCCCCGCCCGGCTTCCTGGGTCAATCAATCTTCCTCAGCACAGCCAAGAAAGAGAAGTGCGCGAGTCCGCGCAATTCTCTACCTTTCTCGCGCTCTCGCGCTCTCTGTGTCTACGGTCCCCATCTCTCTCTGGCACACGCTCGCGAACCTGCAGGTCCCGGCAGGTCGAGTCTTTGTGAGTCTGCAAGGAGTTTTTCGGCAAAGAAACAGCGGGATGTTTACAAACGATGTGAGAAAACAACAGGGCCGATGCGCTCTCTCTGGCTCTCCCGCCCTCTTGATGACACTGGCTCTTCCATGCATACAGTCAAAACCCTTGCCGAGCGTCCGATACCAAAAGAAGGAGATGAACATGGTAATTCGAACCGCCCCGGCACCTAAAGCGGCGAAGCGCAAAGTCTGTTTAGTGACAACTGGAGCTCGAGAAGACCAGTTCATGCCGGCCATGGCACTGTATGGAGGTGCTGACGACAGCAGGTTTTCAATGGCCGTTTTGCACGCTGCTCGGTTTTGATTCGCAAGCGAGATGTCGACTTGCCTCCGGCAACAAGAGCAAGAATTCAAGCAAAAACAAGGCACTCTGCTTTTGACGAGCTGGTTCGGTCAATAATCGCATATTACCTGAAAGATGTTCAAAACAACACTCGGGCCGAACTTAACGGGAAGATCAGGACTGTCCAGATTGAACTGCTAGGATTGTGTGCGGCTTGGTGGTTGCAGTGCTGTGTCGGCAGGCCTGCACTCAGGAAGCTGATTGCTGATCACAGCCCAATGCGTGACCTTGGCGTCTGGCAGGGGACTTGTTAGGTTCGTTTCAGCAGGACCTGTCTTTGGAAGACCTGAAACGGAAAGGAGGCTAGCGCGGCTAGCACACAAGCTTCAATATGTCGAGCCCCAGTGCTGTGCTTCCGGCGGCCGTTTGTGGCAACAGGCTTGGTACACAACAGCACAAAACTCCTCCATGTCAAGTATTCCCATCGAACACCGTGACTAAGGCTCTGCTGCTGTCGTGTGGCTTGTCCGTTCTCGATGACGACATCTGCAACTGCAGAAGCACCAATCATCTCTCCGTCTCGCTGGACATGGTACTCATCGGGAGCGAGGAAATTTATCAGATTCCCAAACTCCAGCAAGGTGTTGGATGAGCCAGTCATCACAATCCTTGCTTGCTAACACAGCCTGCCTTCTTGAAGAGACAAGGAAGGCTTGTAATACCACGTCATGTTACGACGCGCTTGAGGCAAGATGCCAGCTTCCTTGCAAGCACTGGGTTGCCTGCGCCTTTTCATAGAGGTTGTAGCGGCAGCCTGCCACCCACATACAACGGAGGTCAAAAAATTGACCTGAGGTTGCAACAGGCCTGCGTCCAAGTTGAGATTGCCTTGAGAGACATAACCTGACAGTGAACACCCGAAGGCTGCAGCATAGTTCAACGCAAGCTTCGATGCATCTCGCGCTGGATGATGAATTAGACTTTCCAGGCATCGCTGCTCTCTGCATGGTTTCTCAACAGCGGTCAAGTTACATGGGACCACCACAAAAGACAGTTTACACTTCGCATGGAGCTCACCTACGACCATGGCCTGTCACCGGCGGAACTGCTACACTGGCATCGCAAACAGGTTTGTTTGCATCCACGGAGATCACCACCTGCAACACTGAGTGATGAAGTGCTGCAGTCAACTCTCAATAATTTGCGCAAGTGGTCCCATGCCCTTCGTCAGACCTCCATCTGTGCAACGGCAACCGCATGCCCTTCGTTTGTTCTCTTCATGTCCTCCGCCAGAGCTTGTCCTCCTTTGATACCCACCAGTGCATAGCCCCCTCTGAACGAGAGACCTTCGAACTCAGACACGTCGCAGCAACTGCTCCAAATCTGTCATAGCATGTTCTGCACCACTTTACTGAGGAGTCTGCCGTCAATCATGGTGGCACCGCATGTCTTTATCGCCGATTTCGCAGTGTCTGTAAGATTGATGGAGGCCTGCATCTCAGAATCTAAACCATCTCATGTCCACAAGGACAAGCTTCCCGCGCCTCGTCACGCGCACCGATCAGAACCATGGTACCATCCTCGATGGCATCGATGTATGTAGCCAACGCATCGGAACCGGCACGCATCGTGTCGAAGGTTGCCTTGAGCTGAGTCGGCTTCAATCAAGGCTTGCTAAATCTGTCTCTCTTCTCGCCAGGCTTCGGAGTCTTTTCGAGTCCCATCCGGCCGCACCGTGACCACAGTCATGCCGCGACTTGGCCTGGCACCGCTGTGAAATGCTGTGAATCTTGGACACCCCCCCTATGCAGTCACCCTGCGACGGGATTCTTGAGTGGGAAAAGCTTGGAACTGAGAGGTACGCAACCATCAAAAGCAAGCAGAGCAGGACTTTGGCACACACGGCTGAAATAGTGGTAATAAGAAAAACAACAACAGTAGTAGTAGTAGTAGTAGTAGTAGTAGTAGTAGTAGTTGTTGTTGTTGTTGTTGTTGTTGTTGTTGTTGTAGTCGTCGTCGTCGTAGTAGTAGCAGCCGTAGCAGTAGCAGTAGCAGTAGTAGCAGCAGCAGTAGTAGCAGTAGTAGCACTAGTAGCAGTAGGAGGAGTAGTAGGAGTAGTAGGAGTAGTAGGAGTAGTAGGAGTAGTAGGAGTAGTAGGAGTAGTAGGAGTAGTAGCAGCAACAGTAGTAGCAGTAGTAGCAGTAATAGCCGCAATAGACTCTGAAAATTTGAGCCCAAGGGGCCCCGAGTAGAAGTTCACGCCGTTGGCGAAGAAAATTGCTTCATTGCCATCCGCAAAGCCAGCAGATCGCCTAGGCTTTAGGCTGGGCTTAAGGTTTAGGGTTTCAACTCGCGCATGAGACCAAGAACCGTGGTTCTGGACTACCAGCTGGCACCTTCTGCGATCAACCCAATCCATGCTGACTTCCAGCAAACAAAGCTCATCTGGCCATGTCACACACCGACATCTGCCATGTCTTTCGCTGCTGTCCCACAACAGTCCGTTTCATTCACGCTCCTCACAGTCCTGAGCTATGCAGCACATGGAATACAAACGGAAACGGAGGCGCTCATGTTTCTGGAACTTTATGCTGTCAGGACACCACATACTGCCACGTTTCAGGACGAAGCCCGAAGGGCACGTCAGCATAGCACCTCGGAGACTGCAGTCAAGAAACGACAGCAAAGATGTCGAATCATCACGGGAATCAAAGGAACCACTGACAGAGATCACCGAAGGTTAGTGGCGCTTCTGCGTGTCTCACCGCGTTTCCGCTTGACTGCATGTCAAGATGGCAAAAATAGTAGCATGTCCTCATGCACACCACAATTTCTACGGGATGTAGGTTGTGCGGATTCGGAACGTTGATCTTTTCAACGAGAGCGACGGGGACGCGGGAGGACGGTGATTATTCCTTCTACTTGCTGTATCACTCGGCCGACAGGTGCGTTGGCTGTGCTGCCAACAATGTCTAGGGTTTAGGGTTTAGGGTTTAGGGTTTAGGGTTTCTAGCTTGGTTTAGCCTGGTGAAACCTCGACTTAGCAATCTCAGCAGTTCTCTCGGACGCGCAATGCTCGACACATGCTACTGGCCTTGTCGTCTCCGATCCTTAACCCACCCACTGATTGAAAGCATACCAGGTCCGAGATGCACAAAGAAGTCAAAGTGGTCGTCGTTGTAGTGGTTGTAGTTGTAGTTGTTGGGGTTGTGGTAATGACTGGAAGGCTGTCGGCACCTAGGCGGCTGGTGAATGACGTTGAGCTGCACGCAGCTCTCAGGCAAGCAGCTGTAGATCGCTGTCGCCACTGCGATCGGCCCACCATCTACAAATGCCTGGCGAATGAAGGCAAAGACAAATCCCAGAAGGTTACCATGATCTAGGATGATCTAGGAACCATCCGCGAAGAGTCAGGCCGGAGCAAAGGAGCTGCAAGCAGAACAAATCGGAGGATGTTCATCGTTGGCCAGATGCAGAGGACACGCAAGATGGTAGTTGAGCACTGCAAAGCCACTCATCTGCCTACGCCGCTTCGGTTTCGCACGAACCTTTTTGATGAAGGCACGTGATATAGAGTCAGTAACGCGAACAACCTAGCTGCTAGCTCTCACAGTTCGACTGCACTGTTTTCGCGAAAACCATTTCCATTTGGGCAAGTGCAATCTCCCGATATTAAGGCTTTCCAACGTCAATCAGCTGCACATAGAAATGCAGCTACGGACTAACAAGCCAGACCCGAAACACTCAGCCAAATGACAATGACACTTCAAGGTCACATCACCAATCGCGGCCTGCTCAGCCAAGGCAGGGCCGTCTTTGATACCAACCAAGGCATACGAACCGCGATAGCTGAGGCCTTTGGTGAAATCAAGAGCACATCAGTAAATTGCAACATTTCACGAGGCACGGGCTGTCGATCAAAGTTGACCCACACATTCTCATCGCGTCTTTGGCTGCTGCACTCATGTTGCCTTGGACGAAATCACAAACGTCGGCATGGTGATCGAAGTCTGCCGAGTTGCAAGGAAAAAGTGCTGTTACGGAAACATGCGAGTTTCCTGCCATGCCGCGCGCAGCACACGAAAGACAAACACAAAAGAGGGGTCCAAACGAACAGGCACGATACAACTGCGACACATATTCGACAGACGCAGTAGGGCAGTAGGGTAGCGCAGCAGTTTGTTTCGACCCTTGGCCGGCCGCCCGCGCGTCAGTGACGACACGGCAGCTGTCGTACATTGCAGTGCTGCTAACACACGCGGTACTGATGCCGAGAAAAACAACCGAGGGAGTTACGATGTGCATGTGTGCACTAAACCGGTTTCCTGAACGGAGGAGTCCTGATGAAAAACTTCAAGCTTTGCTCGAACACTGCGAAGGGTGTCAGCTATGGCCAGAAGTGTTCAATCGCTCTGCTCAGCTCATTCCAGGCGAGGTGCTGGAGGCCTCATCACGCACCCCAGCGAGGACGAGTGAGCCACTGCTGAGGCCGGCGATGTGAGCAACGAGTTCCTGCAAAACTGAGCCGAATGCCGCAAGCTACCGCATGGGTCACCACACCGATGCAAAATGCACGGCAGCGGCCTCTGATCCATCGGCATGAGTGTCGAAAACGTTGAAAGAATCCATGACACCACCCTGCTTGAAAAGCTTGGACACGTTCATGGAATGCACCGACATGGGTGGGCGTCGAGCTGAGGCCACAACGAGCCGAATCACCGCGACGTTCATGCCACGGTCGGTCTGGACGTCCAGCACGTGGCCATCAATAGAAAATTCCACAAGGTTGCCATTGCTCCTGTGCCGGAACTAGTTATTAGTGAAAGGTCACGAAAAGCATTGTACGATTTGGCAGATGAAACGCATGACACTTCCTGGAAGTGCTTGTCACTGTCAAATTGTGACTGATCATGTTACCTCGGCTCGAATCTCGTTTCCGAGTGGATTCCCAGATCGTCGGGGCAGCTATTCGGTCAATTGGTTTCTGTCCCAAGACGTGCTTGCCAATGAACTGTAGAGTGCGGTCGCAACGGCGATGGGGCCACCGTCCGCAAAGGCCTGCACGCAGGTCAGTATCCGACAGAGTTGTTTTACCAAACGTCCATTGCGATATGAAGCGACCTGCTCAGCCAATGCCGCTCCATCCTTCACACCGATGAGAGCATAGGAGCCACGATAGCTCAAACCTTGAGACATTGTTGAAGCTCCGTTCATGGCACGTTAAAACTGTAATGCTGCAATGCTGCCTCACGCCCTGATCCCCACACGCTTCAGGAGCCCACTGTCAATCAAATTCGCGCCGCATGATCTGATCGCATCTTTGGCGGCCGCACTCATGTTGCCTCGGCGAAGACAACAAAGCCGGCCATTTGACACATAACATAAACTTTGGATCTAGAATGAGCTATCAGAATGCTTCAACAAACTCAAATCTCTCCTCCTGGCAGCACTCCAGAAAAATGAAACAAACCGCTTCCACAGCCGCGCCAGGTTTCAACAATAATAACCCAGGCACGATTAGGCAAAAGCGATCCCCACGTGAGGCCAAGCTTCTTGATGCTTCGTCCCTCACGCCCATGAGCACCAGTCTGCCGCTGTCCAGTCCCTGAACGAAAGCCACGAGGTCCTGGCGCCACGCCCCTTACTACAACGATGGGACTGCAAAGCTGAAGCCCAGAATGCAATCTCTGGGCACTTGTGGCGCTGCCTCCGAGCCTGCTGCGTGAGTGTCAAAGACTTGGAAAGAGTCCAAAGACCCATCCTCACGAGCTTCTCACGCTTACCCTTCATCCCGCAGCCCTCTCAACAAGCACAGGGTACGTGCATGTGTGTGTGTGTGTGTAGGCGTGTAACCCAGAAGATCCCCTGTCGCTTGCACGAGCTGTCACAGATGATTCCCGTGAGATGATGACGATGACGATGATGGCGATGATGGTGATGATGGTGATGATGTTGATGATGGTGATGATGATGGTGATGATGATGGTGATACTGATGGTGATGGTGATGATGATGGTGAGGAGGAGGAGGAGGAGGAGGAGTAGGATAATGGTGATGGTGATAGTGGCGATGATGGTGGTGATAATGATGATGATCAAGAAGAAGAAGATGATGATGAAGATGATGGTGACGGTGATGGTGATGGTGACGATGATGGTCATGATAATGATTATGATGATGATTGTGAGGATTGCCCCTGCCTTTCCACGATGGACAAAGATCGTGCTACTAGATGCTGCAAGTCTTAGCAACAGCTGTGAAGAGGAAATGAAGGAAGCATGACAAGCATGTCGAGATGCATGCCGCGTGATGCAAACGCTGACTCACCCGTTTAATACCACTGTGCACCGCGGATAGGCCCAATCAAAGTGCGAAGAAGCTCCTGGTTGCCAACTTGACAGCACCACAGCTTGTGGTTTAACAGGCTAGGCCAAGCTGCCAAGTTGAGGACGGCCAGGTTGACGCCGCGGGCGGTGGGCACAGTCAACGCCTCGCCGTTGACTTCGAAGCTGACAATATTGCCGTTGCTCCTGCCACGCTCAAGGCTCAAGGCTTCCGGCAATCTCCGCACCAGCTTGCCACCGCTTTCCTGGAAGTGCTCGTCACTGTGAGATTCCTTATAAAGTCATCGTGCAATCCAAAGTACGTATGTGGAAAAACAAATCCATGCCAGTGCACCGAGAAGATTGGTTGGGCATCTGTGCAAACCAAGGCTCAGCGCAGCACCCTCTGCCACCTCGACACGTCGAGTACTCCACAGCAATTCTCTCAGAAAGTCTCGCAGGGTGCATGGGGCAGCAGCCTTGCAGAGACCAAGAGCGATCCAAAGGCCTCAACTTGAAAAACCCCAGAGCATGCAGTTCCGTCGCCACGGCACTAAGCCCACGACCCAACATTTTGTGCAGTAAAGCACTCCAAGACCTTGCTCGGGATTACAAACCACCGCCGCGTTTGCAAAGGCTCCCAAGGCGCCAGCTTTGGCATGGCCTTTCTTTGCAGCAGGGAAACTAGGCAGAGTTAGGCAGAGCTCTGCAGGTCCCGAAGCGCGCCTCGTCTGGAAAGAATTCGGAAAATGCCTAAACTTGTGGGCAACTCAGACTTTGGATAGTGAGCCAGGCTGCAGTGACGTAAGAGCAGCTGTACCTGTACCAAGCCTGTGAAGCGATCTCTCTGAATGTCACGATCATGATTCTGCCGCCTTTTTGTTGTTGCGTTCGTCTGTGTGTCACCAGCTCGAAAACAGAAACGGCCTCACACCGGTAAAACAGGGAACACAAGCTATGCACTCTCTACCCTGTCTGAACACATCCTATGCACCTCAAGGCTTGCTGGCGCGCTCATTCGAGTGCGATCGGAAGCAACACCCCGAAGATGTGAGACCAGCTGGAAAGGCGAGAGCCTTTCCTTAATGTCGTTAACGAGATCGAGGCTTGATACTGCAGTCAGACCTCATAAAGAATCCAAAACTTACGGTGAAATTTGCCGTTTGGCAAACCAATTCTTGAGCTGGCAACCCAGCGGTCGCTGCAAGGTCCCATGAAAACGGAGACAGCTTGCTGCTTGCATTATCTCAACTAGATTTCCACTCACGCCCTGCGCATGTTGCATTCGCACAAAGGAGGCATCCAGGTGAGGGTACAAATCGCGCGTTGACACTGCTACCGAACTTTGACACCCCGAAACCGCTGAACCCTAGAAGGCCTGACTTGTGTGATTGGCCACCTAGGAGTGGTCAGCACAGCAAACCAAAGACCAATGTGAACCTGAGCTTGCAAACCAGATTGTCTGAAGGTGAAATTCGGGTCAGACCGGGAGTGTCACTGCAAAACGGATCAGCACTTTTGCCGGGCGACTGCCGCACCAGCTTCCAGTCGGCGCCGACTGGTCCTCCATCAGATGTCTCTGTGCCTGCCGACGGGTGTGTTCGCAAAACGAAGAGGCAAAGAAGCGACTGCCTGCTGCGCGGCTGCCATGTGGCGAGCGGCTTGGACTGTGTCTGGGTGTTTGTCTCCGAGCCTCACAGCAGCAAACCAGAATCCCCGAGACGAGCACGGAAAGGTGTGCGTTGTGCTGGCGTCTGAGAAGCAGGCTGTGATCTCCGACCAGCCAGAACTTCCTGAAACAGCTCGGCGGCCTGATGAAGAAGCTGCACTCACTCGAAGATATTGTCGATTATGGTTTTAAACCTTTTGATGCTAGCATCTTTGATGCAATGAAACACTCAACCAAAAAACACGTTTGAGGAAATGAGAATGCAGTCATTGTTGGCACTCTCATGTAGCATTCTTGCTAAATCCAATGTCTGAGACGACTAATGGTAGAATGCACCATACACCTTTTTGCAATACCATACATACCGATACCAGCAAAAGTTAAGTTGCTCTCCTTTCTGCTTTGTGGAAGGCGCAATCCCAACGATTGCAGTGCCGTCCTTGGCATACTCATCCTTCGCAAAGAGCAGGACGGCCAGATTATTTGCACCTGAACTGCAAGCCGGCATCCTGCTCCGGAGGGCTGAACATGCAGCTGTGACTTAAGCCAGACACCTGTCAGAGAGTCGGGATGCTTGTCCCCAAGTTGAGAGCGTAGTCCAGACAACACCTGACATGCAGCAGACTGCAAAGTGCAGGAACAGACTCTGGATTTGAGGCAGATTCGTCACGTACTATCTTTCTCGCAAGCGCCTCTCGAAAGAGCGGCTCAGCTTCATCATACCTCTCGGCCTGACGCAACAGCTTTGACTAAACTTCTACGGGATGGAAAAGATCCGACTAAACCCCGTAAAGCGCAAGCCTTGCAAGACCCGAGTGGGCACAGGAGATTCCACATCTCACAAAACCACACTGTGCTGGCTTCGTCACACCTCGTGCAGCAATCCGCCCAAGCTGTTCGCACAGGTCAGCGTGTAAGAATGCTTGACCTAGGCGCACTCACAGCGCATCTGCTTTGCACAGGGACTTGTCGCCAAGGAGCAACATCTGGGGTTCGTGCTCCGAGGGTGTTGCGGCAGTTCTTCAGCACTTCAACAAAAATCGACTCTGCTTCCTTGAGCAAACCTGGCACAGGCGGCACAAGAAAAATTGAAGGACCGGATAACCCCACATGCGCATTTTACTGAAAGGGTTGGCAGCAATTCCAGAAACAGAGGGAGAAAGCAAGTGAGCGAAAGGGAAGCGAGAAGAGTGAATGGGTGAGGCGTGAGCGGCGTAGAACTCTGCTGTGCTAAAGGCTCTGCTGTGCTCGAAGCTCTGCAGTGCTACAAGCTCTGCTGTGCTGGAAGCTCTCATGTGCTGGAAGCTCTCATGTGCTAAAAGCTCTGCTGTGTTCGAAGCTCTGTTGTGCTGAAAACTAAATTTGCTGTGCTAAATTAAAAGCTCTGCTGAGCTAGAAGCTCGGCTGTGTTCGAAGCTGTGCTGTGCTGGAAGCTCTGCAGTGCTAAAGGCTCTGCTGTGCTCGAAGCTCTGCTGTGCTGGAAGCAAAATTTGCTGTGCGAAAAGCTCTGCTGTGCTAGAAGCTCGGCTGTGTTCGAAGCTCTGCTGTGATCAAATGCTGCGCCTGTCAGGAGAATGCTGGTCCCCGAAGCCCGCGCGGGAGAATGCTGGGCCCAGAGGCGCGCGGTCCCAGAAAAGCACGCGCTGGGTCGGAACGGGGCACCAGATGCTGTGCCTGCCGGGGGAATGCTGGTCCCGGAGAAGGCGCGCGCGCGCGAACGCGCGCGCGCGGGGCCACCAAGTGCTGCGCCTGCCAAGAGAAAATGGTGGTCCCAGAGGCGTGCGGTGCGGTTGGAGAATGGGAACGGGAAGTGGGCAGGCAGCGCGACGTGAGCGAGACAGACGTGAGCAGGACCGACGCGAGCGGTGGGCAGGACGCGGGCTGGCGGGCGCCAAGCAAAAAAAGTCAGAACCCCACAAAAAGATGTGGAAAATGAGGGGAGGGGAGGGGAAGGGGGGGGAAGGGGAAGGGAGGGAAGGGGAGGGGACCAAATTCTGAGTAGGCTGATACAGCAATGAGAAGACTGGTCATGGGCCTCTACATGCTCATTGCTCCTTGGGTGTACTTTGCTCAAGTTGGTGACAAACGGAGTTGCAGGCTCTTGCACAGCTGTCGATTCTTGGAATGCCCGGAGGTTGAACACGAGCACCTACTGAGGCATTGTTCTTCATTGCGAGAACATGCGTGGGCAGATGCAGCTGCATGTAGGACGATTCATGACCCTGTAAACCTGCATTCCCTGCGAAACGTCACGATGTCCAACAACTTGTGTCCCACAACAGGTTCAGCACACAGTAACATCCTCAGCACCTTCAGATCCGGCAGCGTTCCTTTGTGATAGTTTGTACTGCCCTGAGATTTCCCTATCGAATGCATCCAGCTGCCTAGTCGGGAACGCAACTGGGAGTCTTGTCATGGGGACATGAGAATGTAAGTTGGGCGGTATGCAGGGATCTGGTACACCTGCGACACAAGGCCCTTGGCGCTCCTCGAAACCGAAAGCAAAGAATCAAGTACTGAGGCAAGGCAGATTAATGCATTCTATCATTATATCATCTTCCGCCTGAACCGAAAACAGAGAACAGACAGACAATGTACATGCAATTAGTGTTCTTGCACGGTGCAGCGAGCCTCTGTTGAGCAGGCAAAGGCCTGCACGTGTGTTTGGGATTGCAGATGCACGCAATGCAGTCGCCGTCGGCGTGTGAAGATTTCTGTGTCTTACATGCTGGATGCGTCCCGTGACCAGCGCAGTCTACACCCGAAGTCCAAATTCTGGCGAGTTGCCGTAGTTGTTGGCTGTCATCAAGGTGTCGACATGCGTGTCTCCCAGCAATTTTTTCCGACCAGTCAGTGCCTTTCAGGATGCCATCGCTTCGAAGTTCGTGCAGAGCCCGCCTACAAAGCCTTGGCCGCTGCCTGCCTCTTGATAGAGAAGTTCCGCGTCTACATGTTTGCCTCGGGAGCGCATGAGCCTGCAGTCGGGACACGAGAACTTCGGCAGAATGGGCAGCAGAACACAGCTGACCCTGCGAGGTTATTGATGCTCGTCAGCGTGTCCCTGTGATGATCGCCGAGCCTTGACTGACCCCTTTGAGGACCGGCCAGGAGGGTACACAATGCAGCTGAGCCGGCAACACCTCACGACGACCTTCTAGAGCGTCTTTCATTAGCTCTTCCGCCTCCGAAAACTCGTAGCTGACACAATCCTCCAGTGTTCAGTCCAAGTGCCTCCTGCAGCTGATTCATCGCATGCCTAGGCGACATCAGGCAATCACAAAAGCCTCGCGCCCAGCTCCATCTGATAAGTGCCGGGCAAGAGCACTGCGAGATTGCTACAGCTCGTCAGTGTGTCCGGATGCTTTACTCCGAGCACTTCGCGACGACCGTCCAATGACTCTCGGAAGAGGGGCTCCGCCTGACATCTTGAGACTCTGCACTCTGCCACACTACTCCTGCTATGCCGCGGCTGACGGACAGGCCTTGTCCTGCCGTCCTCTTGCCTTTCACTCTAGCAGGCATCTCTTTTTGAGCTTTTTGTTCGAGCTCTATGTGTTCTTCGGTGCGCCCTCTGGTCTTGTGTGGCTCTGCTATTTACCGGCGTAGGGAGACAATACTAGAAAGTACACCAGGATTACTCGGCTCCTCAAAACAGGGATTGCACCTGTGCGACTGCCAATAACCTGACCTTCGGGACAGGTCAAACGAAGGCAGGACACGCCCCAAGCATCAGCTCTGGCATTGTGATTCTCCTGATGCTGTGCCCTACACGAACTACAAAACAAGACACAACCTGAGCGATACATGTTACATGGCAAGATACCCCTGCTGAACACCGAGAAGCGCCTGGAATAACCTCACGGAACAAAACAAAGTCACTCTCCAAAATAAAGTGCATGTCCAG